CGGGGCAGGCTTGGCGGGGCGAAATGATGAGCCTGGCTCGCTAATTTTTGGCAGGCCAACGGGCCAGCCCGCGAGCCACAGCCCACTTTGCCATCTCTAAGCAGAACGGCCCATTCTGATTCATTCTTCATGTGTTTATTTTTTGCTCTGGAACAGCCCGTTCTGAAAGTAGAATGGGTCGTTCTTCATGGAGAACAGACCGTTCTACAAGGAGAACGGGCCCTTCTGCAAGGAGAACGGACCGATCTCAATCCATTTTTATCTCCCATGCTCAGATCCAAAACGCAAAAAAAAATAATTAACAGCTTAGAATTCGGTTCCCCGAGTGTGAACACTAAAAGGTACTACATGAGTAAATAAATTGGTACAGGTGTTATTTTGGTAAAAAAAATTAAAAAAAATTATATTTTATTAAAAAATTCGTGAAACCCTCACCCCCCCACCCCCTCCCATTTTCTGTTTTTTCCGTTATTTATTTATTTATTGGTTTTAGTTTTTATTTTTAAAACTTGATAAATAAAAATAATTAATTTAATAAATTAAAAAATGTAAGATTTATTTAATAAATATTACCAAATTTGTAAAAATAAATGCCCTCATTTTTTTAATATTACATATTTAGAAAAATAAACTTAACTAATAAAAAAAAAAAGACATATACAATTTTTTTAAAAAAATATTTTTTTAAATAAAAAAAGTGGTGTCATGGGCCAGAGACACAGGCAAAAAAAAAATGTAAGTCACTATGACCTATAGCAACTTAAAAAAATCAACTCTACACATACTTGCATTTTACAAGTCACTATATGATTTATGATGTAATAATTATAAGAAAAAGTATATAAAATTAATTTTTTTCTCACATGTAATGAGTGTCATTATGATCCATAGCGACACCTACAACAACATCTTCCAATGTGTAAATGGTTTCAAAGTAACTTTATTTACATAATTTATTTTAAAAAGTGACTCTCAATGGTCAAAAAGCTAAGAAAGTGAAAGTGCACTTGGAGCAACAACTGCTAGCAGCAAAGCTTGTGTATAAGAAGTGACAAAACAAAATTAAGCTTGAGAGAAAAACCTATGACAAAAACTCTCTTTAGTGTTGAGCCGGGAGGACAAGGCTAGCTCCCAGCTTTGCCAAGGCATCCGCACTGCAATTACGGTCTCTAGCAATCCAAAGGAAGTTCACCGTCCAAGGTTTGTCCACCAAGGAGAAAATATCAAAGAGATAAGAAGCATGAGAGTGTAGGTAAGCTTGATCTCTATGAAGAAGAGACTGCACGATATCCATGGAGTCAATCATACATTGAACAGTTTTAAATCCCATATGCCATGCGATCTTGAGACCTTCTAGAATGGCCAATAACTCAGCTAAAGAAGGATCACCATGTGAACAATTGCTGGAGAAACCAGCTAACCAATGACCTGATACGTTCCGGATCAGACCACCAAAGCCCAGACGAGATTGATCAGAGAACCAACAACCATCAACATTCAAGTGAACAGTAGACGAGTCAAGAATGTAAAAATAATATGATACAAAGAATAACTTATAAGCAATCTTTTAGCGGAGATGTTCTAAAGCTAATAAACAAAACATGAGAAAAAGTAATAATTTCATCTTAGATAAAAACAAAAACAGTAACAAGGCTCGTGAATCTTGATGAAGACATCACATGTTATGTGACAAAACAGGTCCATAATTTTTCAGGTCAGGATAAATTAGTAGGGTCTCTGAAATCACCCTCGGACTTGATTAATATCTTTTCTATTTTCTTTTTTAATTTCTGTTTGGAAATATTTTGGGAAAAAATATTGAAATTTGTAGTAAAATTAAGAGAATAAAATTGAAGAAAATTTGAAATTAAAATTCATAAAAAAAATATTTATTATTTTATAATAAGTGTCATTCTAAATTGTTTTACATAGATAAAAATAATAATAAATCAATAATAAAATAGTAATTTTTGTAAAAATAATCTTATAATTAACTTTCTTTAATAGAAACAATATAGTGTAATAATTATTTTTTAAACTATTATAAGAAGTATAAATAAAAAGAATATAACTAACACTATATTAAAATTAAAAGTTAATATAACACTTATTTTAAAACTGATTTTCTTCTTACACTAGAATGAAAAAAAAGTCATTTCTTCTCTATGCATAAGACTTGCAATGAAATTTTTGTTGAAACTTCAAACTAATTATTTTTTTTTGGTGAGAGGGAAACAAAAAAAATAAGAAAGAAAACTAAGAAACTACATCTAACAAGAGCCACTTGAGTACAGATGGAGGAGGACTCGTCCAATACTCAAAAATAGGGGAGGACAAGGCTAGCTCCCAGC